GTGATATTCACTAGACACTGTTGAAAGTGAATTATACAACTTGTGGGTAGGGATGGAAGGGAAAAACTGGGAGAGAGTGGAAAGAGGGGGCATTGTCTACAAATAATAACAATAATAAAGAACGGTTGGCTCGCAAGAAGACAAGTTTTATGAGAGGTTGATTCAGTGATTTGAAATTTTACAGGTTCAACATCCTTTGCTGGTTGGCTCCACCCAATGCTGGTTCTGCTCTTTGGTGTATATTGGCAGTGTGAGTGATTGGGGCTATTTGCTTCCTAGTGTTTGTTCTGATGGTACAGAGAGGCTCACCCAGAAGAGTAGGAGTGCTTCCTCAGAGGTCCCCTTTTCCTTGCTTGTGTTTGGTCTTATGCCTTGTGGAATAACTAGCAATGGGAATCCATTACATGTGACACCAGCATGTACTGTCAAGTACTCAGCTTTGCATGTCTACTTCTTGGAGCTGATTAAATATAAACCAAACTTCCAAAACTGTAGGCCTCAATTTGGAAGCATTTCTTGTTAACAACTGAGTAAAAATTAAGCCTGTAAAAAATTAAGTGATTGATGAGGAAACACATAAAGTCAGAGTACTCTTTGACCAGGCTTGTTCTGTGAAGCTAGCCAGGATGATGCTGGGATCTCATCCTGCCTTCCCTCCTGGCTCATTTTTTTGGTCCATTTTACCTTATTGCCTTTCCATATCTTCCATTGCATTTCTCTGGAAAAGTATGTCTGAAAAACAAAACAAAAACTACTCACAGCCAGGCGCTAGTGGCTCAAGCCTGTAATTCTAGCTATTCAGGAGGCTGAGATCTAAGGATCACTGTTCAAAGCCAGCTGGGGCAGGAACATCTGTGAAACTCTTATCTCCAATTAACCACCAGGAAACAGAAGTAGCTCTGTGGTTCAAGTGGTAGAGTGCTGGCCTTGAGCTGAGAGCTCAGGGACAGTGCCCAGACCCAGAGTTCAAGACCCATGACTGACAAACAAAACTACACAATTTTTTCGTGCCTGTCTTGGGGCTTGGACTCAGGGCCTGAATGCTATCCTTGTCAAGTCCTCTACCATTTGAACCATAGCTCTACTACTGGCTTTTTGGTGGTAAATTTTTTTAATTACTTCATTGTCCTTTTAGAAGTGATATACAGCCTGGTTACCTTTACATGCATCACATAATAAATACACTTTCTTCTTTTTGCATAATATCATCTATTCCCTCCTTCTCTCGCATTCCCTCCCTCCTCTCTCTACCCATGAGTTTCGTGGTTCACTTTTACCAATGTGCAGTATAGCCCATGGGCCCTGCTGTTGCACTTTTCAGCCATTTTCCACCGATTCTGTGCCCTCCCCCATATACTACACAGTATATGATGTAAAGAATATAGTCATCAGAAAAAGGAAAAATAAATTGAGAAAAGGTCCTTTGTTTTCTTATCTTTGGAGTTTTTCAGTATGTCTTATATACATATGAAGAGGTGCTTGAGTATTATAACTTGGTGATTTTCTCATAAGACTCCTCTTTTAGTCTCACTGTATGTGAGTGTTTAGAATCCTGTATAATTTATCATGTCCCATTGCATTTTAAATCTAACTTCCACAAATCAGGGAGAACATGCTCAGTTTCTCTGATCTTGGCTCACCTCACTTCACATGATATGTTTTAGTTCCATCCATTTCCCTGGGAATGACATTAATTTATCCTTTCAAATAGCTGTGTAAAATTCCATTGTATATTATCTTATTTTTTTGATTCATTTATCTATTGTGGGGCATCTGGGTTGTTTCCATATCTTGGTTATTATGAATAGTGCGGCAGTGAACATGCATGTGCAGGTGTCTCTATATCCTGGCTCAGGGTAGATGCCCAGGAGTGATATGGCTGGCTCATAGGGAAGGTCTATGTTTAGTTTTTTGAGGAACTTGAGACTGCTTTGCAGATTGGTTGTCTGTCTTTCTAATTTAGTAGCTATGTCCTTAGCTGTTCAGAAACTTTTTATTTTAAAGTAGTCCCATTTGTCAAGTCTCTCTGTTGTGCCCCTGCATCTCTATTTGGGAAGTTCCTGCCTGTACCTAAAGCTCTAATGTATCTCCTACTCTCTTGCATTAGTTTCAGAGTTTCAAGTCTGATGTTAATATCTTTAATCCACTTTGAGTTAATGTTGGAGTGTGGTGATAAGCCAGGAGTCCACTGTTTTCTGCATGTGGCTGCCTAGGTTTCCCAACACAATAGTTTAGAGACTGTTTTTTCCACTGATGACTGTAAGTATGTGGTTTTAATTTGTTCCATTGATCTTCGGATCTATTTTTGTGCCACTGCCAAGCTGTTTTTGTTACTATGGCTACTGCAAATGGTGGTATTTTCATGATTTCCCTTTCTGCTTGTACATTGTTGGTGTACAGAAAAGCTACTGATTATTGGGTTAATTTTGTATCCTGCTACTTTGTTGAAGTGGTCAATTAGGTCTAGGGGTTTGGGAATGGAGTTTTTTTTTGTTTTTTTTTGATCCTTCAGGTATAAGGTCATGTCATCTGCAAATAGGGATAGTATAATTTCTTTCTTTTTTTGGGGGGGGGGTCTGGTCGTGGGGCCTGAACTCTGGGCCTGGGTGCTGTCCCTAAGTTCTTCAGCTCAAGGTTAGTGCTCTACCACTTGAGCCATGGCGCCACTTCCGGCTTTTTTTCCTTTTTTCTTATGTGGTGCTGGGGAATCGAACCCAGGGCCTCATGGATGCAAGGCAAGCGCTCTACCACTGAGCCACCTTCCCAGCCCCTCTTTTTTTTTTTTTGTCGGTTGTGGGGCTTGAACTCTGGGCCTGAGTGCTGTCCCTCAACTCTTCAATTCAAGGCTAGTGTTCTACAACTTGAACCATAGCACCACTTCCAGTTTTCTGAGTGGTTAATTGGAGATAAGAGTCTCACAGACTTTAATTTCTTTCTCTATGAGGATCCTTTTAATGTCCTTTTCTTACCTTATTGCTCTGGCTAAGAATTCCAAACCAAGCTGGCACTGGTGGCTCAGGCCTAGCTACTCAGATAAGAGTCTTTCCTTCCCCTGGCTGGCTTTGAACCATGATCCTCAGATCTCAGCCTCCTGAGCAGCTAGGATTACAGGTGTGAGCCACCAGCGCCCAGCTTTTTCTAGCAGTTTATATTGCATCGTGAGGTTATTTACTTGAGCTGTTTTTGTTTTCTTTATGTGTGTGCTTGGGGCTTTGAACTTTCCCCTCAGCATTGCTTTTACTGTATCCTGAGGTTTTGTGATGTGTTTAAATTTTCATTGAGTTGTGAGAACTTTCTAATTTCTTCCGTGACCCAGGTGTTACTCAGTAGTGTGCTGTTCAGCCTGCATGTGTGTGAGCAATTTTTTTTTGTTGGTCGTAGGGCTTGATCTCTGGGCTTGGGCGCTATCCATGCACTCTTCAGCTCAGGGCTAGCGCTCTACTGCTTGAGCCAGAGTACCACTTCCGGTTTTCTAGTGGTTAATTGGAGATAAGAGTCCCGTGGACTTTTCTGCCTAGGCTGGCTTTGAACTGTGATCCTCAGATCTCAGCCTCTTGAGTAGCTAGGATTACAGGCGTGAGCCACTGGTGCCCACCATTTGAGCAGTTTCTACAGTATGTTTTGCTATAAAAAATTATTTTGAGGGGCTGGGAAGGTGGCTTAGTGGTAGAGTGCTTGCCTCGCATGCATGAGGCCCTGGACTCGATTGCTCAGCACCACATAAGCAGAAAAAGCCAGAAGTAGCTAGGATTACAGGAGTGAGCCATGGGCACCCAGCCTGTCATCATTTCTTCAGTGGTTCTTTTGTCTTCCATCTCTACTTCACTTTCACTGGGGTTCTTCCCTGGGTTGTTGTTGGCTTTTGGATTTGATTTGTTGTCTTGATTGTCCATGAATCTTGTAATCTTTTGTTGTGATTTATGCATTTGGGTTCTGGAATTGTCAGGGTCGTGGTCTGAACCTGGCCTCTTCTCCAGACTGGTGGCAACCTGCCTTGGCCCAGGCTAGCCCACTCTGGGCCCCTGGGCCAGCAAGTGCCTTGCATGTGCTCCACCCTGGGCTAGCAGGAAGGAGCTTGGTCCAGTCTTCAGTGGGGGCTGGGAAGGCTAGATCCGGGTGTGCGCTTGGGAAGGGTTGAGTCCCCCTGGGTGCTCTGGACTTTGCTTGTGCCTTGGCCCACAGGGGCTAGTGCATGTGTTGTGCGTTTCAGGGCTCCGAACAGGGGCCGGCTCTCACATGTGTTTTGTCAGCTGCCAGTGTGTGCACACGATTCCCAGCTCTCAACAAGGCAGTACTCTGTCAGTGGCTGGTGTGCACATGTAATTCGTGGCTCCTGAGAGGAGAGCCCTCTGCCCGCAGCTGTGCCCTGGGGCTTGTCCGTATGGAAGGCTGGGAGGAGGAGGACTCACTCTGGGATGAGCTTGATGTTTCAGAAGGGGCAGCAGCTATGGCTGTGCAGACTTTTGTTCTCAGACCGCCCTGTTACTCTCCTGGTAGCCAGGGCTATGGAAGACACAGAGTCCTAGTGCCCGAGGCCTCATGCTGGAAGCCAAAGGGGGGATGAGGGGAGTGAGGAATGGCCCTGGCTTCTTTGTCCTCTTCCAATGTGGTGCCCTTCTTGGGCTGGGGGGAGAGGGATCGAGTCAAGCTCTGTGGCTCACCACCAGCGCTGGTCTCTGTGGGGATCTCCTGCAGGGTACCCACTGATCCTGGAAATGGAGGTAGCCTGACTGGCGGTGCTGTGGCAGATCTCTATCCTGGTGGTTAATTGCAGGTAAGAGTTTCACAGACTTTCCTGCCCTGGCTGGCTTTGAACTGTGATCCTCAGATCTCAGTCTCCTGAGTTAAGGTTAGGATCACAGTTAAGGTTAGTCCAAAGCTGACTATACTTACTGTGCAGCCATTGTGCTCCTGTGTTGCTTAGGTTAACCAGGTGCCCTTTGATTTCCAGGTGAGGGCTGTTAGAGGTGGGAGATTGGCGACTTGCCTTCTTGCTCCCCATGGAGGACAGAGGCCCACCCGCCTTTGATGAGGACCAGAGAATGCTGTCCAGGAGCCTTCCTGTGCTGGAGAGCTCAACTGCACAAACCACCTCCGAACCCAGCAAGCCCCTGTCCTCGGCCCGCAGACACCTGAGCAGGAAGAATGGACTCTCCAAACTCTGCCAGAGCAGGATGGCACTCCCCGGTAATGATGTCCTCCTTGTGAGCATCAGACTTGTAATATGAAAACGTACAGTGCATATCTTCTCTTGTCCGCTGAGAGGCTGGGCTGCGCTGGTTGCAGAGGAGCCCATGGTCTTTCCTCTCATTCATCTTCTCTGCTTAGCACAAAGTCTATTCCTCAGCTTCAGTTGAATTCACTTCTGTGTTTCAGGGCCAAGTTGGAGCAGAATGTTCTTTCTTACTCATGGAATGCCTGAGCACCATCTTAAGCCAGACTATATTCCAAGAGTATGACTTTGCTAATGTAGCTCAGTGAATACTGACTACACCAGGTGGAGGTGGTTTACCTAGACACCACAGAGACAAAAATGAAGGCAGCTAGCCTCCTGGGTGGGTACTCTTTCCCCACAGCTGGTTGATTTCTCCATGTCCCCTCTCCTGGAGGGATGAGTTTTATGATTGGGGCTTGAGTCAGCATGTTGCTTTTTAAAAAAAATTTTTTGTGCTAGTCTGGTGCTTGAACTCAGGGTTTGGGCACTGTCCCTGAGCTGCATTTGCTCAAGGCTAGCACTCTGCCACTTGAGCCACCACTCCAGCTTTTTCTGTAATTAATTGAAGATAAGAGTGTCAAAGACTTTCCTGCCTAGGCAGATCTTAAATCAGGATCCTCAGATCTCAGCCTCCTGAGTAGCTAGGATTGTAGCTGGGAGACACCAACGCCTTGGCAACAAGTTGTGGGGGTGTTGTTTCTGAGATTTTGTGCTCAAGGCTAGCTCTCTACCACTTTGAGACACAGCACCACTTTCAGTTTTATGGTAGTTAATTGGAGATAAGAGCCTCACAGACTTTCTTGCTTGAGCTGGTTTCAAACTGTAATCCTCAGATCTCAGTTTCCTGAGTAGCTAGGATTACAGGTGCAAGCTACCCGCACCTGGTGCAAACTGCATTCTTTTTTTGGAGGGGGGGGAAAGGGTCTGGCCATGGGCCTGACTGAACTCTGGGCCTGGGCACTGTCCCTCAGCTCTTCAGCTCAAGGCTAGTGCTCTACCACTTGAGCCACAGCGCCACTTCCGGCTTTTTTTTTTCTGCTTATGTGGTGCTAAGGAATTGAACCCAGGGCCTCATGCATGCAAGGCAAGCGCTCTACCACTGAGCCACCTTCCCAGCCCGCAAACTGCATTCTTGATGTTGGGATGGATCTATAAAACAAGTGGCTGGAGGCTGGAGCAGTTTCAGGGAAAGGCTGGGGTAGGGTCTCAAGGTCATCTGTCTTGAGGTCATGAAGCAGCTTGATGGTATTGAGCACTGGTGCTGAGATGATAGGAGCAGGGCCCGAGGAAGGCTGAACAGGAGGTGAGCTTTACTGCCATTGTCCACACACACCGCTAGTGTACTGATACCATAGATTGGCTTTAGGGTGATCTTTTCAGTGACTTCCATGCCAGAAGGGACCAAGTGACTGTGTGGCTCCCAATCCCTAAGAGCCGTCCGTGGGCCGTGTACTGAGGCATTGTGATCCTAGACGAGAAATGCAGAGCAGAGAAGACAGGGAGAAAGAGCAGTCAACACCGGGGTCATATGTGTTTGGTTTCAAGCCAAAGGATGAAGATAGGAAAGGGAGTAGGCCGTTTGTCTGTAATGGGAGGTTCTGGCCTGGAGGTAGATGTGGGAGCTGACAGCACATGGGTCTTCTGTGTGATGGAAGGTACTAGGGAGTGGGTCACTTTGAGGTCATAGGTAGAGAAGGGGAAGGGGAGGAGCTTAGGTGACTAGACTTAAGAAGGTGAGGGACCTGAGGCCCAGTGCTCCAGCTAAGGGGAGTGGGTTGAAGACTAAGACTGAGGACTGACTGCTGGGCAGAGTACTTCGCTGCTGTGGGACAGGATGCTGAGAGCAGCTCCACTGGGGTGGTAGAATGGGCTAACGGAGGAGCAGGAAGGCGGGCAGCAGGTTGTTCTGAACTGATGCTTCCTGGGAACAAGTGTCAGGGCGGTTGCTGCAGAGGTGAAGTGACTGACGCAGGAAAGGATACAGGGCTTTAGAGTGTGGCTGAGATGTGCTACTCTTGGGCAGTTTGTGTTTCTGAGAGGGCATTGCTCTGTGCCAGTGTGTGTCCCTGGGCTTTTCTGGTGAGTCTCACTCAGACCCAGTGGGTGGGACAGCCAGCTCTGTGGATTACCCAAATCCTGGGGTCCTCTTCAGGCCGTGTGCTCTGCCTGTCTCAGAAGTTAGTACTTGGTAGCTGAAGGAGGTCTACAGCTTTCTTTCCTTCTTTTCCTCTCCAGAGGACAGGTGGAGCTCCTACTGCTTGTCATCACTGGCTGCCCAGAACATCTGTACAAGTAAATTGTATTGCTCCACTGCACCTGAGCATGCAGACCTGGCTGGGTCCATGGCTAGTACGTCCTGTTGTTCCCTGCTGAAAGGATTATCTTCAGGGTGGTCTGCGCCTCTGCTCCCCGCCTATGTGTACAACCCCAACAAGGCTGTCTTCACTGTGGATGCCAAGACCACAGAGGTATTGGCTTTGGTTTGAGGCCCATCTGTGACTGTGGTTTGGGGGCTAACCTGGTACCTCAAACAGGAATTTGTGTTTTAAGTGTGATTAGAAAAGATTTGTTTAATCTGTCTAGTAGCAAAAGAGATAAGAATTTGAAGAACTATAGAAATAGTGGTAGAAAGACTATACAGCAAGCACTGGGCCTTTACTAGGCCTTCAGTTAAACTCCAGTACCCACACAACACACACAACTCAATCAAGTTGAATCCTCTTCTCAAGACAGGTTTGTGTGTACCTAAAGCATACTTTAACACATTGGCTCAACTATAGAAGATAGGATGTTCAGTGCCTGAATGAAATATGATCACATCATGTATGTTTACATACATTGTTAGACGGGAAGTTTTATGTCTTTTCCCGTGTTTTCTTTGTTGTCTTTATTGTAACATGCCCAATTTGGCTGTGAAGGCATCTTGGGTAGTTGGTTCTGACCAGGTGCTTTGGCTACAGAGTGAGTGTTGCTGCCCGAGCTCTTGGTGGGAGAGCACTGGAGGCAGTGCTGGGCAAGGGCAGGTCCTTGGCCCTGGCTCCTGCATTGTTCTCCTTGGCGGATGCCAGGAGTGTGAGGAGACGCTGGTGACGTGTTCTCTTCTCTGTGTGGCTCTTCAGATTCTAGTTGCCAACGACAATGCCTGCAGGCTCTTGGGGTACAGCAGCCATGACCTGATTGGCCAGAAGCTCATGCAGTTCTTCCTGAAGTCCGACTCTGACGTGATGGAAGCCCTCAGTGAGGAGCATGTGGAGGCGGATGGCCACGCTGCGGTTGTGTTCGGCACAGTGGTGAGCGGGCACCATGGGCCCTTGTCTGCCTTCAAGGCAAGAGCAGCATGTGATGAGAAGGTGCTGACTTCCTCATCCAGGCTCCTGCTCTGAGCTGCGCTCTGCTGCACGCTTCAAACTATAGGCACAATTGGTGGGTATGTGGAGGGGCCAGGAATGCTTCCCTAGACAGTTTTTTTGTTTTGTTTTGCTTTTTGTTTTTTCCAGTCCTGGGGCTTGAATTCAGGGCCCTGGGATGCTGTCCCTGAGCTTTTTTTTGTTTTGGGTTTTTTTTTGTCAGTCATGGGGCCTGAACTCTAGGCATGGGCACTGCCCTCAGCTCTTCAGTTCAAGGCTAGCGCTCTACCGCTTGAGCCACAGTGCCACTTCCAGCTTTTTCTGCTTATGTGGTGCTGAGGAATTGAACTCAGGGCCTTATGCATGCAAGCACTCTACCACTGAGCCACTTTCTCAGCCCTCCCTGAACTTCTTTTGCTCAAGGCTAGCACTCTCCCATTTGAGTCACAATGCTACTTCCAGCTCTTTCTGTTTATGTGATACTGAGGAATCAAACCCAGGGCTGCATACATGCTAGGCAAGCACTCTACCACTAAGCCACCTTCCCAGCCCCCTCCCTGGACAATTTCATTCCCCATCCTAGTGCTGGTAGATCTAGCTGGGACATTGATGTGGAGGGGGGGGTTGGGGGGGAAGGTTGAGGTATGAAATTCTGTGGAGTCTTTGGGACCAAAGGAAAGTGGAGAGTCAGAAAGTTACTGGTTCAAGTGACTGACTGCTACAAAGAAACAATTATACCATTAATCATACTTTGCTGCCTATTTCTTTAGGAAATAGCAGCTACTGCTTTCTTTTTTTTTTTTTGCTTTTTATCCTAATATATTACCATGAGGCTGAGGGTATTGGTCAGAGTTTGCCAGAAGAATAGAACCAATAGAATATGTGTACACTTTTTTTGGGGGGTGGGGTGGGGTGTCAGCCGTGGGACTTGAACTCTAGACCTGAGCACTGTCCAGCTCAAGGCGAGCACTCTACCACTTGAGCCACAGTGCCATTTCCAGTTTTCTGGTGATTCACTGGAGGTAAGAATCTCACGGACTTTCCTGCCCAGGCTGGCTATGAACCATGACCCTCAGATCTCAGCCTCCTGAGTAGCTAGGATGACAGGTGTGAGGCACCAGCACCTGGCTATGTGTAGTTTTAAAAGGGGATTGATTGGATTGGCTCATGTGATTGGAGAGGAGCTAGTCCCACACTGGCTATCTGCTGGCTGAACAAGAGTGACCTGAGAAGGAGCCCACCTAAGACCAGAGGCCCTGACACTCTTGGAGTGTCCCAAGTGTGAGGTATTCAAAGGCTAAAGAGTGCTATGATGACACACCCTGGGAGCTCCCCTCCTCCTCTGCCTTTTCATTCCGTTGGGCCCTGGATGTTGGAAGTGCTGCCCACATGGAGGGTAGGTCTTCCCCACTTGTTTGGCCCACACACCAATTTCTGGAAACATGCTCACAGACACACTCAGAAGTGTGATTTATTGATTTCCTAGATGTCTCTCGATCCTGCTGAGGATTAAAAAACAAACAAAAACTCCCTATGTTGATAAAACAGTCTCAGTCTGTGACACTACCTATCAGAAGCATTGTGTATATTTGCTAGATTTTTGAGCGCAGAGAACATGGCAAAGGCCTCCTGTGGTGGCAGACTTCGTGCCTTGCTGGTTGTAGGACTCAGTGGGGCAGGCAGCGTGCCCAGGAGCAGCTTGTGTCCGTCCACAGGTGGATATTGTCAGCCGTACTGGGGAGAAGATCCCAGTCTCTGTGTGGATGAAGAGGATGCAGCAGGAGCGTGGCCTGTGCTGCGTGGTGGTTCTGGAGCCTGTGGAGAGGATCGCTGCATGGGTCTCTTTCCAGAGTGATGTGAGTGTGTGACACTTGTCTACCACACAGCTTTGCCTCATATAACAAAGTGCATCCCAGCCCTACCTCTTGCCAGCACCTCTGACGTGGGAAGAAGGAAGGTGCTCAGGGTGTCTAGAGGTCTTCTCCAGCTGTGTCCCTGCTAACTGTGCTTGGGCAAGAGACTCAATTGCTCATGTCTCAGTCCCCTGGTCTGCAAAAGGGGGATATAGACAAAACTACTGATAGAGTTGTTCTTAGATTTAGTGGAGTGATAGCTATAAACCCCTCAGTAGAGTCTATACTGCAGACATGGCTTGGCTGTGAGCTAGGATATGACTGTTAGAGTCTGGTGTGGGCCCAGGACCCTGAAGAGCAGTTTGTTCTTTCGGTTTTGGTATGTCTGGTGCAAGGACTGACATGCTGTTCTTGTGAAACCCCATTTGGCTGCTTGCTGCTCTTTGGATGCAGAAGTTGTGAGAGCCGTCTTGCTTTGAGCATATAGACGGTGAAGTGTAAGATTGAAAGCCAAGGGTGGCGGGAACCGCGGCTTCCGGGTCAGTCTGTGGTGGTGGTGGTGGTGGTGGTGGTGGTGGTGGTGGCCTGAATTTATTGGGAGATTTTGGGGGGTGTTCTTCACTCCCTCGAATGGGTGTGTGTGTGGGGGGGGTAGTTCGTGATGTGGGGAGGGGACTGAGTGACGTTCTGGGTGAGTGCAGAATTTCAACCGTTTCCCACCCACTCCCCCCACTCCGACCCCTCTCCACCCTGGGAGACTCAGGCGACTCCTTAGGCCGCAGGTACTGGAGGCTTGGTTGTTTTTGTTTGGGGGGGAAGGAGGGGGAGGTAAGGGACACCAGTTTAGGTGAGGTGGAGGGGGCGGGGGAAGACAGGAATTCTTTATTAGGGTTATTATTTTGTGGGTGTTGGAGGTGTGGGGGGTGGGATGGGGTAAGGGGGGGCGGGTCCTGGGCCTGGAACTCATTTGTCTCTGAGCTTTTTCACTTCAGGCTAGCCTACTGAGTCACTGTTCTACTTCCAGCTTTTTTTTTTTTGGTGGGTGAATTGGAGATAAGAGTCTCACAGATTTTCTCGCCCCCAGAGCTTTAAGCTTCCTCTAAAAACCACAACAGCCACAAAAACACCGACTTTAAATCTACAACCTTGTTAACTAATATTAAACGTATAACCCGAAAAAAAAAAGATTGAAAGGCAAGTGTGAGAAACTGTATTTGTCACACTTATGAGCACTGAGTTTTTCTCCAGGGAACCGTCGCAGCCTGTGACAGTCACTTTGCTCATCTCCATGGGTTTGCCTCTGGGGAGGACGTGTTAGGGCAGCACATCACAGACCTGATCCCATCCATACAGCTTCCTCCTCCTGGCCAGCAAGTTCCAAAGGTAGGACCTGCATCTGTAACCTGACGACAGAACCAGCCCAGGATGGGGTAGGTTCCAGCTGCCCGTGCTCCAGGGCTGGGTCAAGGGCTGGACCCTATGTGGCCTCTCAAATACCGCTTGTGTCTCCTCAGTCTCCTCTGTAATGCAGAGCCGGGAAGACAGGGTTCTTCCTTGTGTGGTTAGAGTTCTCCAGACAGAGCCAGTAGGGCTTATGGGAGGAATTGACTCCCACAATTACAAGGTCATCTGCAAGCAGGAAGCCCTGGGATGTGCCCTAAGTGTGACTCCAGGGACAAAAGTCTGAGAACCCTGAGGGCTTTGCAGGTAAGTCCTGGAGATAAAGGGTGGAGAGCCTGAGTTCTGAAGGAGGTGGACCCTAACTCCAGAAGTGAGAGCTCTGTTTTTATTCTTTCTGGGCCCCTGGCAGCACTGCCCACATTGGGAAATATTGTCACAGATACACCCAGACAAGAATCTTGGTCAGCTTTCTAGAAATTCCTTCATCTAGGCAAGTCCATGGCTAAGTCATGTGGGCAGGGGGGGGGGCCAGAGTGCTATGTGGGATGGGAGGTGGGCAGGGGACCCTCTGCTCAGAGCTGAGTCCCCAAACTCCCCTGTTTCCCAGATAGCATGTGGCCGTCACACAGCAGCCTGGTGCTGTGACTTTGCACCTGCAGGAAGGGACTGGCCAGGCAGTTGGGTTTTGGTCACAGCTCTGCTCTGGTTAAACTGAGGACAGCTCCTGGGTGTGATTCTCTAAACTTAGCATCTCAAGTTGTAGGTGAAGCTTTACAGTGCTGTGGGAAGTGCTGCCTGCCCAGTCCCTGTGTTCTCTGCCTCCTCTCTTCTGCTCTGAGGCAGCAGTCCCACAGCTTGGCAGCCTCACAGCTAGCAGGGCCTCGGCTGGCACCTCTGCTGGCTGGCAGCACTGCTGACCCGCTGTGGCACACGTCCTGGAGTGGAGATGCACAGAGGGAGGCGTCTGTGAGCATGAGGGATAAGCTACCATGCTTCTCAGTAACACATGGGAAGTGACGAGGGGTCCTGTGTCCTGTGTTCCTGGCAAGCTCACTGGGGCTTGGGGTCAGATGAGGACCAGCAACAGAGTCAGGACTTGCCCTTTTGTTGGGAGAGCTGGATCTGAGTTCTGGCTTGGACTAGGGTGCTGTTTTCATGGAGAGGTGCTCACTGTGCTCAGGATGGGTGCCTCTGGCCTTGTCCTGTCCTTCATGAGCCCCAAGCAAAGGGCAGACACAAAGGTATGAGTCCAGCTTAGTGTCCTGAAACTGCTTCCCTGGTCAGGAGCCCCGTGCTGGTGAAGTCTCAGACGGGGAGCCAGACGTGATGCACGTGCTTGAAGCAGAAGCCACAATGTGAGGTCTGGTTATGTGAGGGAGGGGAGTCAGTGTCCCCAGGAAATAGCGTGAGGGGCTGGGGCCACAAGGACAAGGGTGGGAGAAACAGTGTCTCTTCCTCCCCTCAGAGCCGGGGGAGAGGGGGGTGCAGCCCAAGGGGCTGTGTACTGTGGTCCTCAGTGCTGTGGATGAGCCTGGGTCCAGTCCCTACCTAGCTCGCACCTCATCCTCCCCAGGCAGCTCTTGACTGGTATATGCCGCACTCTGGCTGTTCTGGACCATGAGCCCTTGCTCCCCAACCCCTACTATTCCCTGGCCTGCGTGGAGCAGTGTTGGGCATGTGTGGACCTATGGGGTGGAATTGGGGTCAGAAGCACTGAGGCTCTGCACACAGTGCGTGGCCATGCTGAGCAGGGCGCTTGTCTTCTAGAGTCTCAAGATCCAGCGATCGGTCGGGAAAGCCAGGGACGGCACCACCTTCCCTCTGAGTCTGAAGCTGAAATCCAAGCCCAGCAGTGAGGCAGCGGCTGAGGGTGCGGCAGCCCAGGGTCTGGGTTACCAGGCGTCCGTCTGGGTGTTCTGCACCATCAGTGGCCTCATCACCCTGCTGCCAGATGGCACCATCTATGGCATCAATCACAGCTTTGCGCTCATGCTGTTTGGCTATGGAAAGATGGAGCTCCTGGGCAAGGTGGGGTTTGCCATCTGGCTTCCGCCTCCTCTGGGGAATTTACCTGCTAGGCTGGTCAGCTCTGCTCAGCTGTGGTTGGACTTAGGAGTGTCCTTATACCCAGGAATGGCAGGAGCCCTGGTCCTAGCCAGCCAGCTTGCTTCTCTTGTTGCGGCCTCAGCGGCTTCCCTCCTGTGTCCGGTGGAGTTTTGACTAGACCAGATCCCCTGGGCTTGTCTACTCTTTTACCCTGCTGAGGGGGTAAAGGAAGGGTGTCTCAACTTCCCTCCACTGACTGGGCATTGGTGGACATCTACCTGCCCAGAGCCAGGCCAATGGATTTAACTGCCTCCTTACTTATTCAGACCATCCCATTATGTGTGTCGACAAATCATCCCAGTGTTGGAAACATCTAGAATCCTGTGATTTGGTCATGGCTCAACCTTCTGGGATGGGCTTGGAGGAGACGTCATTTTGCTCTGTGTGGTGTCAGCTGAGCAGTGTCTGTGGAGCTCACTTGTTTCAGTTCCTGGCGTGGGTGTGGCTTGGCCATTCCTGGCTTTAAATGCCCCCGAAACTATGCAGAGGAGCAAGTACGTAGTTCCCACAGGACTCATCAAGGTGGTCCCAATGGCGGCCCCGGGTCCACCAGGTGCCCATGGGTTGAAAGACAATGTCCAGTGAGTGCGCATCAGTGTCCTCTCTCCTGGTAAGGCCAGACGCAGGCTCCCAGTCCAGGTATATGCCAGACATGTGCCTGGAGGTGTAACTTGCCTCAGGATATGCTGAATTTTCCTTTTGCATCAAAGAAATGAAAAAACAAAACAAAACACAACCATGAATTATGCATTGAGTTCCAGAAAGTCTGCAGGTTGGTTGAAACATCTTGACTGGAGGTAGTGGTGAATTGCCCAAGGCTTGCTCCTGTTTTCATTTCTCCTCCAGGAAGATGCCACTGAGTCAGAATGGATCCTTCTAGGTTCTCAGATGTCCTGCTTTATTCCATAGAATATCACGTTCCTGATTCCTGCCTTCTATCACTACATGGACTTTGCCTGTGACAGTTCTATATACCTGCCAGACCTGACCAATGAGAGTGGGCCTGCAGAGCCGGGCTGGGGCCTGGCCAGTGGAGCCCGAGGTGAGGCTGGTGTCCTGAACCCCAGCATTCCTGAGCATCCAGTCCCGTAGGCCCATGCCTCGGTGACATGGGGAAGGAGCAGAAGCCACGGACGGCCCTCCAGAGGCGTGGGTACTGGGGCACAGTGAGCTGCAGTCTCTGGCCCTCTTGAGCTTTCTTGTTTGTACCTAGGAGAAGAGACTAACACATTCTTGGAAACATGATCATAGAGGAGGGGAATAGAAGTCCTCCAAGCTGTGCCAGTGTCTGAGAAACAAGTAGCTGACAGTCTTGTGTTTTTAGAAAAGATTTTATATTTCATATAGCACAACATTGAATTAGAATAACATTTATTCCTGAATTAACTATTCCTAGCATATTTGCTATCTCCCATAGTTTTAATTTAGCCCTTTTAATTGGGGAGTGGTTTGTAGAGGCAGCATGAGTGCCAGCCCTATATCCCAGGACACTCTCCTGGTCAGGATGCAAGAGAGGGTGGGCGGGGTCCCAATAACCCCCAAAGCCAGTGTCTGTACCCTGGATGTCCCTGGGCCATGTACGGGCCTGTAAGTTCAGGCAGAGCAGCAGAGCAGGATCTTTGCCTTTCTGTGGAGGGAACAGAACAGGTGAGAGGTTGACAGATGTGGCAGAAGGCGAAGTGTGTGTCGCGTTGTGTGCACAGCTGTGGTGGCAGAGGTCCTCTGTCCCACATGGGTGGTGGGTGCAGCATCTGCACGGAGCTCTGGCACAAGCACTCAGGCAGGGTGTGCCAGAGTGTAGAAAACCCTCTTCTGTGTTGCCCGTAGATCCAAGGGCTGATGTGGTGCTCCCACAAGAGGAGACCTTGAAGCTGGTGGAGAGACAAGAAGTCTTGCCGGAGACTCAGACACAGCAGGAGACTGTGCGTCAACCTTCCTCTCACTCGTGTGAGCCCTCCCTGAGGTAAGCGTCTAAGTGAGAGGTTGAGAGTTACTGAATGCCATGGTAGGTGGTAGGTGGTAGGCAGAGAACACTCTAGAGAGAGATGGTGACAGCGGCAGCTACTGTGCTTGAGCTTCGTCCATGCAGTGTTAGCTGCTTCCTGCTTCTCAGCTGACTCCTCACAACCTCCCCGCATCAGATGTTCTCATCTCGTGGGTAAGGAAGGGTGTGGTAGACTTTAGAGAACGGATGCAAATGCAGACTTTCGAGTACAGGAAGTCTTGCCAGGTACCACTGGCTCACTCTTGTAATTCTAACTACTCAGGAGGTTAAAATCTGAGGATGGTGGTTTGAAGCCAGTCCAGGCAGGAAAATCCATGAGACTCTTATCTCCAATTACCCAACAAAAAAAAAAAGCTGAAAGTGGAGCTGCTACTCAAGTAGTCATGTGCTAGCCTTGAGCAAAAGAGCTCAGGACCTTGCTCAGGTCCTGAGTTCAAGCCTGAGGACTGGTACACACACACAAAAAACCCTCACTCTTTCTGTTATCACAGTCCATATTGTGCAGTAGATTTAGTTTTCTTTTTTTTTTTTTTTTTGGTCAGTTATGGGCTTGAATTCATGGCCTGGACGCTATCCTTGAGCTCTTTTGCTCAAGACTAGTGCTCTATCATTGAGCTACACGGCACTACTTCCAGTTTTCTTGTGGGGCGGGGGGGGGGGGGGGGGGGGGATGGGGAGGGTAACTGGAGATAAGAGTCTCCTGCCTGGCTTGGAATTGTGATCCTCAGATCTCAGCCTCCTGGGTAGCTAGGATTACAGGACTGAGCCACCAACATCTGGCATTTACTTCTTTTTAGAACTTTCTTCCTTTCTTCCCTTCTTTCTTTTGTTCTTTCTTTCTTTCCTTCCTTCCTTCCTTCCTTCTTCCCCCCCCCCCTTCTTTCTTTCTTTTTGTCAGTTGTGGGGCTTGAACTCTGGGCCTGGGCGCTGTCCCTCAGCTCTTCAGCTCAAGGCAAGGGCTCTACCACTTGAACCACAGCGCCACTTCCGGTTTTCTGGTGGTTCATTGAAGAGAAGAATCTCACAGAAGCCGGGCGCTGGTGGCTCACGCCTATAATCCTAGTACTCAGGAGGCTGAGATCTGAGGATCCCGGTTCAAAGCCAGCAGGGGCAGGAAAGTCTGTGAGACTCTTCTCTCCAATAAACCACCAGAAAACCGGAAGTGGCTCTGTAGCTCAAGTGGTAGAGCACTCGCCTTGAGCTGAAGAGCTAAGGGACAGCGCCCAGGCCGAGTTCAAGCCTTTAAGTTCAAGTTTTTAAGCCTTGGGTGTGAGTGTGGACATACCATCTATGGTTGTCTGTCTTCCACTGGCTCTAGAAGTCTTCCTGGGCTGCTTTTTTTTTTTTTTTTAAACCAGTCCTGGGGCTTGAACTCAGGGCCTGGGCACTGTCCCTGAAATGCTTTTGGTCAAGGCTAGCACTCTAGTATTTCAGCCACAGCACCACTTCCAGCTTTTTCTGTGAATGTGGTACTGAGGAATAGAACCCAGGGCTTCATGCATGCTAGGCAAGCACTCTACCACTAAGCCACATTCCCAGCCTCTGCTTTTTTTTGGTTGTTTGTTTTTATTGTGAAAATACCATACAGAGGGGTTAAAATTACATGGGCAAGATAGTGAGTACATTTCTTATCAAGCATTGTTGCCTCCTCCTTTGTTCCCCATACCATCGCTTCCCCTCTCCACCCCCACCCCCACACCCCATCCCATCGCTTCCCCTCTCCACCCCCACCCCCACACCCCCTACCACCACTGCTTTTGTTTATTGATACTGTTACTGGGTTTGAACTCAGGATCTCAAACTCTTGCTTTTTCACTCAAGGCTTTACCACTTGAGCCATACTTCCCCTCTGGCTTTTCGTTGGTTAATTGGAAATAAGAGTCTTGGCTTTGTTTGCCTAGACTGGCTTTGAACCATGATCTTCAGATCTCAGCCTCCAGAGTAGCTTGGATTACAGATGTAAGCCATTGGCAGCCTTCTTCTGGGCCTCCTTTTTGTTCAGCAGCCACACTGTCCTAGGCCAGAGTAGAGGTCAGAGTTTCTGCCTTTAAACTTTATCTATACATTTCCTCTGTCTGCATTCTTTGTTTACTATTGTATTTTTGAGATTTAACCAGATTATGTTTTCTGACTTGAAATTATTCAAGAAATATTCTTAGTTCCAGGCGCCAATGGCTTATGCTTGCAATGCAATCCTACTTACTCAGGAGGCAAAGTCCCAGAGGATTACTCTTTAAAGCCACCCTGGGCAGAAAGGTCTGAGAAACTCCATCTTCAGTTAACCAGCAAAAAGCTGGATGTATGGCTTGAGTGGTAGAGCACCACCATCCTTAAGCAAAGCAAGCCAAGTTGATCATGAGTTCCCCAGTTCAAGTCCCTAAGATGCAAATTGCAAGACATTTTTGAATTATTTTAAAAATATTCTTGGGCTGGGAATGTGGCTTAGTGGTAGAGTGCTTGCCTAGCATACATGAAACCCTGGGTTCAATATAACAGAAAAAGCTGGAAGTGACCCTGTTGCTCAAGCAGTAGAGTGCTAACCTTGAGCAAAAGAAAGTCAGAAAGAGCGCCCAGGCCCTGAGATCAAGCCCCAGGACTGGCAATAAATAAATAAATAAACAACCAAAAAACTTCAATTATTCAACTTTAAGAACTTAAAAGGTTCCCTTTCCTTTCTCCTGGCTTCAATCCTAATCATCTTCCAGACTCTCTTTCTAGGCAAATTAATATAAGGGCATATTATTCATTTACTTGTGTGTGTGTATATGTGTGTATGTGTGTGTACGTGTGTGTACACGTGCGTGCGCAAGTGTGCACGTGCACCTGTACTGTCACATACCTGGAGTCACATTCCACATGCTTTTCTAAGTGTGTGTGTACCTAAGTATGTTCTTGTTTGTTTCGACCATCTTCCAGTGTGGTAACTTTCAGATGGTGCCATCTTCTATGCTGGTGTTTTCTTTTCTTTCGTTGGTTTTGGGGCCTGAACTCTGGGCCTGGGCGCTGCCCTCAGCTCTTCAACAACTCAAGGCGAGTGCTCTACCACTTGAGCCACATACTCCGGTGTTTTTCTACAAGCTGATATCTCAATGCTGCTTTCATTTGCCTTAACTCCCTTCCTTTTCCTGTGTAGCTATAGGGTCTGCTTTGCTGATATGAGCAGAGTAGTGTGGCCAGGCTCTCATGTTTTATTCTGCAGAGAGGAGGAGAAGTCTCCCCTGTACAGTGGAGACTCCATGGAGCCAATATAGGTAACCGTGTCCTGGAATGACCTGGACAGTTGCTGTTTCCTTGCCAGGGTATCTGAGGGGCTGTTTCTCAGTGGCGGTACATAGTGCTCTGCTCTGCCAGCAGCTCACCGCTGGGCTGGAGCAGAGTATCTTCTGGGACTAGTGTGTACTAGGAAGAAGTTGCCCTTGATTGGCCAGTTCCTGGTTTCTTGTTTTTAGCTCTCAGGTCCTTTAAGAACTTCATTAGCTTCAGCCATATAGGTCATAGTTATCTATAGAGAGCCATCCAGTCATTTGTAGATGCCATCATGTTTTCAACAAACAGCCTGTGGAGGACTTGCAGGCTTGTACCTGGCCTCCTCAGGAAGATAAGTTAGCACGGTAATAACTATCAAGATCAGGAGATGCATCTGGGGGAGGTGTGAGATCCAAGTTCTGGGGGCCGTTAGGTGCTTCCTCAGAGGGTGTCTTTAATCTGGGGACCCCTAGCTCAGTTTAACTGTTTTTAGTGAATTGATGCAGAAGCTGAGTGGTTATTAGACTTTGGGCCAGGTGATCAAAAAAACCTCCGAGCAAAGTGCTCAGATGGTGTTGTGGACTGTGTGTGTGTGGTGGCCTGGCTGGAGGACCGAAGATCCCCAGCTGTCCTAGGCAGAGGCCCTAGCAGTGCATGATCATTGGAAGCCGCTTCCCCACCCCTCCACAGTGGCCAGATTCCAGCGATGGTCATGCAGGGCTGCTGGGGAGATGGAGGAATGTCTTCTTTTCCCCTGGGTTGTTGACATTCTAAGTCAGGATTCTAAAGATTTGAATACTTAAAGCAAATTAGTTATATCAGTTATGCAGGGAGGGGGCTTTTATCAGTATACCACAGCACACGTACACACTGCATTCCTCTCACACTTCCTGTGCCTTTCCGTCCAGGAAATAGTGTGTCCTCTTGGGTTGGTGGTGTGGCTCAGTTGGTAGAGCGCTAGCCAATGAGCGAAGGCATCAGGGACCAAGTTCGAGTTCCAGTCTTGGAACTGAAAAAATAAAAAAAGATAGAGTGTCTCTGATAGGCTCTTGGTGGTCAAGCCATTCCGGCACAGACAGGACGCCATTGGTAGTCTTGGTTCAACCCCTACGGTGTGAGTTTCTAGAGGCCTGCAGCAGTGACATGACTGTCCCCTCGGTCAGGGTTTACCCTAGCAAGACACTTCAGACCTTTCCACAATCCCAGAACAGTCCAGCACTGTGGCTCACTCATGCCTGTAAGCCTAGCTACTCATGACTGAGATTTGTGGATTGCAATTTGAAGCCAGCCCAGACAGACAGATCCATAAGATTCTTTATCTCCAATTAATCAGTAAAAAGAGCTGCGGTCAAGTGGGTGAGTGTCAGCCTTGAATGAAAAGGCTGAGTGGGAATGAGGGCCCTGAGCTCAAGCCCCGTACTGGTGCCTGTGTGCATCCCAGAGCAAATCTGGCACAAGGGTTTTGCGAGGCAGGCCTGTGGACACTAGCAACCACAGAGGAATGTGCATGCCATTGCCTGCTAGCCATCAGTGCTGCTCAGAGAGGGTGAGGGAAAGTGCATAGGTGCCCAGGGGCCTTGAATAGGTCTGCTAAGCATTGAACTTCAAGACCAAAGGCTGCCCAGTCTTTCTGACAAAGGTTCTGGCCCCGCAGAAGTATGTTCCTTTATTGACATCTATTCCTGTAGATGACTGGCTGAACCCTTGGACCCTGCGGGAGGGAGAGGCAGGGAAGGTGGGGAGATGGGGTGCGTGGAGACACCGCTGCTTCCCCTGGAAATCCCTCTTCTGCGTCTCTGCTCACACCGCCTGTAGCATCTCCTTATTCTCATCTGTCTTCATGAACTTGGATGCAGTTGCTAGATTTCCAGGGTTAATGATGTTTGTGGCTCCCCAGCATGATCTGAAGGGCAAGTGCCCAGCCTCAGGTGGTTAGCTGTGTGGACGCCCTGTCCGATGGGCTGGTGGAGCTGGGGTAGTGGTTTGTGGGCCATCCTCTGCACTGTGTCATGGCTGAATGCTCTGGGGGCATCTGAGCCAGCTCTCAACCCTCTCCTCAGCCCTCTCCCTTTGTGCAGTTGGGGTGCCAGCCTTTTCTGAAGACGGGTGGTGTTGATAGACAGTCACAGTCTGCTCTTGGGGCTTGCAGGACTGTGAAGCCCCGCTCCCTTCTCACCACCTCAGGTAGCTGCTGGGGCATCCCCGTGGCTACCCTCAGCGAGGGATACCCCACTGAAGAACGGGGGGGGGTAGGAAAGGGGACACCAGAGGGTCCAGTGCTCACTTGCTTCTGAACTCCAAGCTCCCGTTAGCAAGCTTATTTATTTAGTTCAGTACAGGGGAGGTGACTACAGGTATGTGCAGAAACTCGGGTATCAGTCAGTCTTGTGGTTACAACCACATGATGTATAGTTTGTGTACATAGTGATAACTGACTCCCTATTGTTAGGGAGCAATAAACATTTAACCGTAACACAGATGTTCATCTTATTTTCAAGGTCTCAAGCTTTTAGTGCCCAAACAGCTCTAACTTAAACACACTTAGGGAGCTGGGAATGTGGCTTAATGGTAGAGTGCTTGCCTAGCATGCATGAAGCCCTAGGTTCAATTCCTCAGTACCACATAAACAGAAAAGGCTGGAAGTGGTGCTTTGGCTCAAGTAGCAGAGTGCTAGCTTTGAACAAAAGAAGCTCAGGGATAGTGCCCAGGCCCTGAATTCAAGCCCCAGGACTGGCAAAAAACAACAACAACAAAACTTAGGGTAAGCCGGTCACAAGTGGCTCACGCCTGTAATCCTAGCTATTAGGAGGCTGAGATCTGAGGATTGCACGTCAGAGCCAGCCTGGGCAGGAAGCTCTGTGAGACTCTTATCTCTAATAAACCACCAGAAAACCAGAAGTGGCTCTGCTCTGTGGCTCGGGTGGTTAGAGTGCTTGCCTTGAGCTGAAGAGCTGAGGGACAGTGCCCAGGCCCAGAGTTCAAGTCCCACAACCAACAAAACAAACAAAAAAACCTGCTTAGGGTAGTAAAGTATACATTTGTCCTGTCTTGTCTGTTTGACCTTTCCAGGGTCCTGTTCTCAGCCTTCTGAGTGCTGTGGAGATGGCTTCCCACCCCCCCCCCCCCGGCACATCCTCCCTGCCTGTGGGGCTTAGCCTAACGGCATGGCTGACATCAGGCGGCCTGGGATGGCTGGAGGCCCCTCTTTGTGATGTGGGGGTGCTGACTAGTGCTCAGCATTTAGTCCTGTACCATGATCCAGGTCTTTGAACAGTGTTCTTTGGTGCATCTTTGGCAAATGTGGATTTATGTTTATGAACTTCGTTACAGAGTTTGATCTCTCTGTCATAAACCTGTGTTAAATGCTCTGTACTTGTCTCTGATAGAAGGAGAGTCTGATTCTGTTCCCTCTTCTGTGACTTCTGAATTCCTGTCCGCAGTGGGGACGGTGCTCCTGAGGGCGGCTTCTCGGCCCACAGTGATCAGTCTTCCGAGCAGCAGGACCTACCAGAAGGAAGCCCTCTGGTCCACGCTGAACAGACAGGATCTGAGAAACAACAAAAAAGCTCGGAAGAAATCCCACTACCCCATGACGAGGGTTCGTTGCCTGAGCAGCATCCTGGCACCACGGGAGGAGGCCCACCAGTCCACACGGAGCAGTCACTGCCTGCAGAGCAGTGCATCCCTGTCCCTGGCAAGGAGAATCCAGGAGTGGCAGAGAGTCCCAGGCAAACGCTTTCTGGAGAAAGCAGGTCTCCACCAGCGGATGCAAAACTGTTTGCTTCCCGTGCAGATTCGGAGCCTTTGCTCCTGGCGGAGGACAGGAACAGCAGCATGGACTTGTGTGGTCTGCGTCAGGAAGCTCAGTGGGAGCTTCTGGGAATCAGCAATCCCAGCAGCCCCGCCTGGGCTGATGCCACCATGCCTGAGCCCCACGCTGCAGGGCAGCCAGCAGGAGGAGGCTTCCCCATGCACTGTCCTCGGTATGCAAGTGAGTGGGTCATGCAGCAGCGAGCCCAGGACCTGGTCCCCAGCTCCCCTGGAATGGCGGGTGTCTCTCTTGGGACGCCAACTCTGGACGAGCAGTGGCTAGGAGTGAAAAACGACCGAGAAGAGCTGCAGACTTGCTTAATTAAAGAGCAGCTGTCCAAGTCTAGTTTTTCGGGCACGCTGGGCATCTCCTATGTGGAGCTTGTTCCTGCCGAGCACCCGCCCTTTGCCACCCCTGTGTCCTTCTGTGATCTGGGAGGCACAGACCTACGCAGCAGCCACCTTGGCAGCTCCTCGGCCTGCTATGCCCTGGCCACCGACCTCCCTGGTGTCCTAGAGACCATGGAGTCCCAGGAGGACGATGTGAACTCCTACTCCTGGAATCTCAAGGAGCTCTTTCTCAGTGACCAGACAGAGCAAGCTTCATCGAATTGTTCTTATGCTACATCTGAGCTCAGTGAGACACCCTCTCCTTCAGTGGTGGGATCTGATTTAGACATGGGTGGTCTCCGCAGGCATAATCCAGATCCTCTGGGTGATCGAGAGCTGTTGCTACTGACCGGCACCTACTTCAACCTTAGCGAAGGCCGACAGGACCCACAGAGCCTGGAACCGCCAGAGGTTTCCTTAAAGCCTTCCAAATACTATAAAGCAAGTGACCTAGAAAGCTCAGCCTGCATCCTTGCCATACCAGACACCAGTCCTGAGGCTGAGTGCCCTGCAGTGGGAGAGCCTGGGCTGAGTACCCAGGTCACCTCCACCCCCATGACACGCAGAGCTGCCAGCCTGCAGCGGGAGATCCAGGAGGGCACCTACTCCGGGAGCTGCTTCCACCGAGACGGCCTGCGGCTGAGTATGTCCCCAGCCCTGAGGGGGAGGGCAGCAGGCTGTCCCCAAGCTCAGTCTAGCAGGGGTGCAAAGAGGTCTTGCCTCCAAAAGAGGAGGACACTGTTACCACTACCTCTTAGAGATGAGGGTTTGCCTGGGACAGCAGCTTATGGTCCCAGCCGCCCTCCCAGCACCTGGCCCCCCCATGCCCCCAGGTTACACGGGACTCCACAGCTGTTTGGGTGTGCCCAGGCAAGCTGCTCACAGTTGTCAGGACTTCTGGTGTCAGGATGCTTGTCTCTGCAAAGCCCCTTGCTGGCCAGAATGACGACTATTCTGTAGCTCTTTACTCCCATTTCTTAAAAGCTGCATGTTAGCTTAGCCATTGCTTCTCTATTGTTGGTTTTGCAATGTGGACTATGTTGACTTTTTCTAAATTAAAAAAAAATGTATTTTGCCAGGCTCTGCCCTGGCTTTCTGACTTGTGGCAGTCTGCATCTCTCTGAGGACATCTCTTGACTTCTGGCTGCTCTGATGCTATGACCCTGATAACTTTGTCTCCCTCTCCAAGCTCAGGAGCCATTCGCTCCATACTGCTGGTGTAGCTTTCTGTGGTTCCAGGGAGGGGCTGCGGGTTATCGAGGTGCTCTGCCCTGCCTCCTCGCCCTGTCACCCTCCAGGTATTCAGTTTGAAGTGAAGCGGGTGGAGCTCCAGGGCTCTGCAACCTTGTTCTGCTGCTGGCTGGTGAAGGACCTCCTGCATAGCCACCAGGATTCTGCCACCAGGACCCGCCTGCTCCTTGCCAGTCTGCCTGGCTCCACCCACTCCATCCACGACATCTCCCCATCCAGCCCTGGAGAGGTTGGTACCTGCTGTCAGCTCAGTCCTGTATTTGCTGTTCATTGTGCTTCAGACTTGGAGTTGGCATGGCTGTCTTGCTGCATATCTTTTGGGATGGGTGTTGGTCCATTTGTGGCTTTTTAAATTGCCCTCTGATACCCTATGTAAGTATAAAGTAGAGATAGGGCTTTCCCTTCCCCTTCCTCCCCCTCCCCCTCCCCTTTCTTCTTGCTTCACTCTCTCCACTCCTTCCCTACATGTCCTCCCCCTCCCCCTCCCCCTGCCCTTTTCCCTCCCCCTCTCCCTCTCCTCCTTCTCCCTCCCCATCTCCCTCTCCCTTTCCCTCTCCCTCCCTCCCATTTTTTTGGTGGTTAATTGGAGTCACAGACTTTTCTGCTCAAGCTGCCTTTGAAATGTGATCCTCAGATCTTAGCCTCTTGAGTAGCTAGGATCACAGGTGACTCTCCATTCCCTGGCACATGTACAGGACTTTAAATCTGGGGATGCCCCATGTGTGCCGTGGGATATAAAACCTGTGTGACACATTTGGATTGATGGGCCAAGGCCGCCTGGATGGCCCCAGGCGAGGGTGAGAAGCTTGGACAGTGCGGACACAGTGCCGAGCACTGAGACAGGGCGATGCCGCCTGTCCTTGGAGGAGTGGCCTGGGACGCTCCAGCCCCTTCCTTCACATTCACAGGTGCTCAGAACCAAGCCTTGGTTTGAGGAGCCTCCAATGCCTGCAGAGCTGGAGGGGCTGGCGGCCTGTGAGGGCGAGTACTCCCACAAGTACCACACCCTCAGTCCGCTTGGGAGCGGGGCCTTCGGCTTTGTGTGGACCGCCATGGATAAGGAGCAAAACAAAGAGGTGCTGTGGCTCTGGGAGGGAAGGGCGCCAGCCCAGGGTCTTCTGCTCTCAGAATTGGGGGTTTTTAGTGGGACCGAGGAATCCCCTGTGCAGACCAAGCACACAGCCTGGCCTGTGGTGGTTTTGAAAGGAGGGTGCTTCTGGCAGTGTACATGTTGACATTGAGGTGACAGTCCTGTTGTTTCCTACTTAGACCTTGCTCCTAGCGGGCTTCTGGGCACTGGCCAGCTCAGGGCTGCGATGGCATCACCTGCCCACGTGGCACGGGGCTCCCTCGTGTTTGTAACTCAGGCTGCTCCTCTCAGTCATCCTGGTAGGTTCCCGCAGCGTCTCGGAGGCCCTTCATCCCATCTGCATGCATTAGGACTTAGCTCCCCCTCCCATGCCACCCTCTTGACTTAGGCATCCTGTGTTTCGGGAATTGAGTTGAAGTGGTACTCAACCATGTCCCTCCTTGCACAGGGCACTGTTACCCTGCCCCCACAGTTTTCTGATCACTTGTTGCTGGGACGTAGCAAAGATCCGGGTCGGAGTTAGAGTTAGGCATCACAGTCTTCCTGGCACGTCATTTTTGACTATTCCTCAGCATGGCGGCTGTGGTTACTTCTCATCACCTTTACTCCTGTTCCCCTGTCCTGGTGGCCCAGCGCTGTTCTACAAGAGGCAGGCCGCCCCGGGCCCTGGCTTCCATCTGCCACTGCGCCCCTTCGTTCTCCAATGGGTATCTTTTATTTGAAGATATTAGGTTTAATTTTAGTCCATTCGTTTAATTTTTATTTGTTTGTTTTTAAGCATGAGTGTTAAGTTCTGTCAGGTGGTCTGGATGTTCTCCCATCGTTGATGACAATGATTGTCTCCTTTCAGTAACGTGATAGGTGATACCTGTCAACTTCCTTACATATGGTCCTTGGTTGTATGTAATATTTTTTTTTTTTTGGTCGGTTATGGGGCTTGAACTCTGGGTTTGGGCACTGTCCCCGCACTCTTCAGCTCAGGGCAAGCTCTCTACCGATTGAGCCACAGCACCACTTCCGGTTTTCAAGTGGTTTATTGGAGATAAAAGTCTCACGGACTTTCCTGCCCAGGCTGGCTTTGAACCGGGATCCTCAGATCTCAGCCTCCAGATCTCAGCCTCCTGAGTAGCTAGGATAACAGGCGTGAGCCACCAGCGCCCAGTTCTTTTTTTTTTTTTTTTTTTTTTGGTCATAAGGCTTGAACTCTGGGCCTGGGCGCTGTCCCTCAGCTCTTCAGCTAAGGCAAGCACTCTACCACTTGAGCCACAACACAAGTTCCTATAATATTCTTTTCATGTGATTCTGGCATGGGTTAGCTGATTTACTTAAAGCGTGCTTTTTTCATTCATATTTATATGAATTTATGTTGGATTTTTGTTTTTGATGTCAGTGTTATTTGAGGCCTGAGGATGAACAGTTTGAGTAGTATGTCTGGACATGCAGATTGTGTCCATTGATTTGTCCCTTGACCATCTTAATTCTGTGTTTTTTTTTTTTATTTGCTAGTTTTGGCAAAGAATTGCCTATTTTACTTATCAAAGTTTTTTTTTTTTTTTTTTTTGCTGGTCCTTGGACTTGAACTCAGGGCCTGGGCACTGTCCCTGAACTTCTTTTACTCAAGGCTAGAATGCTACCACTTGAGCCACAGCTTTACTCTGGCTTTCTGGTGGTTAGTTGGAGATAAAAGTCTCACAGACTTTCCTGCCCAAGCTGGCTTCAAACTGCGATCTCAGCTTCCTGAATAGCTAGGATTATAGGCTTGAGCCACCAGCACCCAGCATTTTCTGTTAATTTCTTTCTTGCTATTTTTATAAGTTAATTTAAGCTTTTTCTGGCTTATGGAGTTGATTTTTTTTTTGTTTGGTCAATTATGGGGCTTGAACTCAGGGCCTAGGTGTTGTCCCTGAGCTTTTTTGCTCAAGGCTAGCATTTTACCACTTTGAGCCACAGCTCCACTTGCAGTTTTCGTTCTTGTAGGTAAGAATCTTATCTCCCCAGGACCATCAGCTCCTGGAAACAGGGCACGCCCCTCCCGGAGGTGCACAGGGCAGGCCTGCTCATGCTGCCACCTACCTCCTTCCTGCCCATTATCACACTGCAGCCAGAGTCCGCTGAGTGACCAGGCTATCTTGTGTGATCTGCAGCATCTCTTTCTTGAGGGGTGGACGCTTTCTCCCCTGGCAGTTGTAACTGACCCGCATTTCCTGTGTGTGGTGCTGTGTTTCTCAGGGCTAGAGTGTCCACTCAGCTTGTTCCGGGGTAGTGCTGACACAAGTCTTATGGTGACAGTTTTAAAATTTTTTCTCTACTTCGAAAGCTTCTTATTTCATTCTCTTGGTTAGAACATGCAGTACTCAAACATTGGGGTGCTGTGGCGTTTTCTGTGGGGAACACCTGCCTTAAGATCTTTGGGGCTTTTTTTCTTTTCCAACACTGGCTGTGACTCCTCAGCCCCTCCTGGGATCCCCAGCCTGTCTGGAACTCTTCTTAGGGCACTCTTTGTTAGTGTTTCTATTTCATTGTTCTGCAGGGGTTATTGCTGCTTCTTCAGTGTCCTGGGGACCAGGGGAGATAATGCAGAGGCTGTGTCTGCCAGCACAAGCCTGTGGTAGGCACTGAGTGTAACAGGGTGCTGGAGAAATGGTTCAGTTATGTTTACCCTTCTTTTCTCTTGTAGGTGGTGGTAAAGTTTATTAAGAAGGAGAAGGTTTTAGAGGATTGTTGGATTGAGGACCCCAAACTTGGAAGAGTTACTTTAGAGATTGCCATTCTATCCAGGGTAGAGCACGTCAACATCATCAAGGTAGATGTTGATTCCCGGTTCAGCAGTACCATACCCTGTGTAACACTGCTCATGGTTCAGCAGAGTGGAGCTCAGTGTTGTCTTCTTCCAGGTACTGGATGTATTTGAAAACCAAGGGTTCTTCCAGCTTGTGATGGAGAAGCATGGATCTGGCCTGGACCTCTTTGCTTTCATTGACCACCATCCTAACCTGGACGAGCCCCTGGCAAGCTACATCTTCCGACAGGTGAGAGCAGACCAGAGCCATGGGGGGGTAGGTCTGGCTGCTTGGGCCCCTGGTGGCCAGTGACACATAGTTGGTTCTGTGTGTGAGCCGATCTGGCAGTCAGCTTTGAGAAGAGAATTCTGGGGCTAAAGTAGAGAAAGTAAGGTTGGAGGGAGGGAAAAGGCCAGATACCTTCCCTGGTTAGTGATTAAAGTTTCTGTACACACACTATTCATACAATCACCAGTATTAACCAACAAAGCCATACACTGGGCCGCAAGCCCTGTGCCTTTCATCTGAATTCTTATTCCCACCAGCTGTGAGACCTTGTCTGTAATCTCCAGTAAAAATTCCTTGTCTCTACTTAGAAGGCTGTTAGGATCAACTCAGAGAACCTCTGAGACATGCACACAGACTGTGGCCTGCACATTGTGAGTGCTGTTAGTTAATCAGCAAAGAATGGGATTTGGGCAGTAAATTTTGTAGTAAATTTCCTATTTAGATATGTATTGACGTTATGCATTTGTTATTTTAATGGAAGAGCAAGCAATTAGCAAAACTTGAAGCTATAAGGGAAAGGAGACCAGACACTGTAATCTTTGTTTTGAATCACAGGATGGAGCTTCCACACTAGGCTGCTCCTTGCTCCAAGAAGGAAGGAAAATACAGCAAGAGGCTGTGGGGATGAGGGAGCACTTTGGGTTGCCTTTCGATTACTTCTTGGGAATGACTTGATTCCTTGTGATAGCTTCCATAAACCCCTGTTTCTTGTGATAAATTCCCCAAAGTTATTGGATTTCTGAAATTGAGTTTCTTTGGCATCTATATATGAGTTTCAGACCTCATGGTTATTAAAAAAAGTCACCTCTGTCTGTGTTGGAATTTCATTCGCTTCTTTACTTTAGCTCATGGAAGATTTATGGCATAGTGTATTCATGAGGGAACATTAGAGTCACCTTTTAAAAGTTTCTAAGTCAGTTATTAATCCTGGGGCCTGCAAAAAGTAATTTTGGGCTGGGCACTGATGGCTCACACCTGTCATCCTAACTACTTAGGAGGCTGGGATCAGAGGATCACAGTTCAAAGCCAGCCCAGGCAAAAAAGTCTGTGAGACTCTGATCTCCAGTTAACCTCCAGAAAACTGGAACTGGAGCTGGTGCAAAGTGGTAGAGTGATAGCTTTGAGTGAAAGAGCTTACTCAGGGCCAGTGCCCAGGCCCTGAGTTCAAGTCCCGCAACCAAAAAAAACATCAAACAAGCAACAAAAAAGTACTTCTGGCTCATACATATATAGAGTATATCTATTATACGTATATAATTTTATATGCATGTGTTATCATGTATGAATGGTACCAGTTAAGAGTATTCTTTTTAGCTCCAGATCCACTGGGCTGCTCAGTGATGGGCTAGAGCCTGAACAACTCTGCTATCCAGACAGCAGCCCCTGTGGACGGCTGAGAGATGGGCACTGGGGCAGCAGCACTTACAACTTCTCTTCCAGGCTGGACTGTAGTTAGCAAGATTTAGTGAGGCTTTCTTTGTTCTAGGTAGAAGGGGGTTTCTGGCCAGACGTGGTACTATAATCCCAGCACTCAGAAGACTGAGGCAAGAGAATCTCAAGGTCAAGGCCAGCCTGACTTGCATAGCAAAACCATGTCTTCCCCAAAATGTACCTTTTGTCTACCCACTTGGTGACAAATATGTATGTGTCCATTAGACTTTCATACTTGCATGTTTCTGTGAGTTTATGTACCTGTGCATGAGTGCACAGGTATGCACATGTATTACATATGCACCCATATGGGTGTGTTCATGTGTGCATAAACATGCATACTAAAATGCATGTGTGGGCTGGGAAGGTAGTTAAGTGGCAGAGTGCTTGCCTTGCATGCATGAGGCCCTGGGTTCGATTCCTCAGTACCACATAAGCAGAAAAGGCTGGAAGTAGTGCTGTGGTTCAAGTGGTAAAGTGCAAGCCCCACGACTGACCAAAAAAAAAAAGAAGAAGAAGAAATAGTTAATGATAGTCCAACCAAGCCTGGTCAATTTTGTACACTTACAAATGCATGCCTACAAACGTACACATGCATTTTATTTATTTATTTATTTTTATTTTATTTTTTCCAATTGTGGGGCCTGAACTCTGTCCCTCAGCTCTTCAGCTCAAGGCGAGCGCTCTACCACTTGAGCTACAGCGCCACTTCCGGTTTTCTGGTGGTTTATTGGAGATAAGAGTCTCACAGTCTTTCCTACCCGGGCTAGCTTTGAACTGCAATCCTCAGATCTCAGCCTCCTGAGTAGCTAGGATTACAGGCGTGAGCCACCAGCGCCCGGCTAACTATTGCTTCTTATTCAAAGATATTCATTCATAAGATAGTCTGCAAGCGGGCTGCTGGTGGCTCACGCCTGTAATCTGAGATCTGAGGATCGTGGTTCAAAGCTAGCCAGGGCAGGAAAGTCCGTGGGTCTTCAATTAACTACCAGAAAACTGGAAGTAGCACTGTGGCTCAAGTGGTAGAGCACTGGCCTTGAGCTGACGAGCTGAGGGACAGTGCCCAGGCCTAGAGTTCAAGCCCCATGACTGACCAAAAACAACAACAACAAAGAAAAAAAAAAAAACCCAGTTGTCTCTAGAGATCAGGAAGATTAGCTACTAAGATGATAGGTACAGCTGATGTCTGGATTTCGATCATGCCAGACCCCTAAACTGGATAGTAGGCTCATTTGTTGGACTTCTTCCACTGGAGAAGCAGAGCTGAGCCAGAGGGCCTTTGTTATGGTGACACCCTGGAGTGGGATGGTGTACACTCAGCACGATACAGTCCACTCCCAGATTGCGGCTTACTCTGCCCGTCACGGGCCTGCTGGTTAGGGAGGGACAGTGGACATACCAGGCTGCTCTTGGAGTTGCTGCTGAAGCCCTGCAGCAGGAGCCCCTGTACCCCAAACTGCCACCGAACCCTAAACAACGTGCTTCCCCTTCTCCCGAGCTGAAGGCATCAGCGCAGTGCCCGCGTGGGGCCACTCTCGCTTGCCACTGCTCCCAGTGCCTGCTTTGTGGCCTGTCTTGTGAGGGTTCTGGGCCAGGTAGATTTCAGCAGTAGCAAGAGGAAATTCATGTCCCCTGTTTGTGCTGCCACTTTCTGGCCCACCTGTGCCCACATAGTGACGCTGCTGCCCAGAACAGCTCTGCCCCCTGCTGGCTTTGAACCACGTTTCTAGCATCTACGGTGATGGACTACAGGTGATGGACTACAGAACACATGGCTTTTCTTTGTTGTTAATTGTTGTCTTCACGTGAGTTGCATTTTGAAGCCCCTCTGGCTTGTGTTGCAGTTGGTGTCCGCCGTGGGGTACCTGCGTGCACAGGGCATCATTCATCGCGATATCAAGGATGAGAACATTGTCATCGCCGAGGACTTCACCATCAAGCTCATCGACTTCGGCTCAGCTGCCTACTTGGAAAGGGGCAAATTGTTTTATACTTTCTGTGGAACGATCGAGTACTGTGCCCCCGAAGTTCTCATGGGGAATCCGTATGTACCCCACGTTCACAGCAGCACTGCCTCTTCCTGCCTGCCCCCTTGAGCCACGGCCTGGGTGGCTGTCATCTGTGCCTCTGTGTTGAGTGATGAAGGGTCATGTTTGGAGATTGAGTGGCCAATATTCAGGCAGAGTCAGCTTGGTGAGAGGAAGCTGGGGAATGGATAGGGTGGTTTCATCAACTTCTGTTTATCTGTGGAGTTAGACATCATAGAAAGTTTAAAAAACAAAAGATAAACTAGAGGTTCTGCAAAGGCAGGAGTGTTCAAGTCTTCTTTAGCTAGCTTTATTTGGATGGTAGGAGTACTGATTTCCATAAAATCTTGTGCTGGCACCAGGAGAAACAGCACTGACTGAAAGAGTCATGTGACTGCGGAGGCCTTGTAGAGGTGCCACTGCCCCTCAGCCAGAGACCCACCCTCGTCTGAAGCTTCTCAGCCTTGCTCCGAGCCCAGGCTAAGAGCTTCTGATGATGCTGGAGGGAACAGCCTCCAGGGATGTGAGCCAGCCGGGCTTCCCTGCACTTGGTGTGCTGTGGGCAGAGGAACCTGGCCCGGACAGGGCCTCACCTTGGGGAAAAACTGCAAGAAATGTTGTTGCTAATGTGTTTGCCTAGCCTGAGGGGAAACTACAGACAGCGGCTCCTGCTGTACGTGCCCGCCAGGGCATCTCTGAGCCAAGTTACTTTACTCAGACCCAGACCCCCGTGTCTTCCTCTACCACCTGCACAGTTGTTCGAAGGGCTGCTGGGGTGTGTTTCGGGAGGGCAGTGAATTATCAGAGCGACAGTGTCCCTGGACACACATAATAGGCCGTGTTGGGGTCGGATCTGAGTCTAGAGTGTTGCTGGCAGACACTGCTGTCCCCTGCCCTGTCTTGGGTTTGTGTGGGAACCCCAGCACCGGGAGGGGAGTGACCAGAGCTCAGGCAGGGTCTGCTCAGGGCACTTGCGTCCATTCCCAGAACGTGGCCGCTCTCAGCCTCAGCGGCCTGTTCCTGCCAGCAGTGCTCGGCAGCTCTCTCGGGCCTCGCTGCCCAGCAGCAGTGCTATGGGCCTTTTACCAGCCGCAGGGTACGGGGAGCGCAGAGAAGCCCTCCCCTCTGGAGCCTCCATGTGTGTTCAAGCCACCACACGGGGACAACAGATGTGCAGGGGTAGAGCTGCTTTTCAGATCTGATTTGGTTGCCCTGAAGCTCAGTAGTAGCTGTCCTACAGGCTAGTCTTCCTCTCCATACCCTGCCATGAGGCTGCCAGTGCAAGGTGGAGGCCCCAGCCTAGTCCAGCAACCCAGCCCTCTCCTGTCTGCCCCTCCCCTCTGCCCCACTGCCTCTCCTTTCCTGTCTCTACGCTTTGTCCTTCCCACATCCTGTCAGAATCTGACCCAGATCTCGTCTCTGGAGCACCTTCCTTCCTCATTGTTCACACACGTGCCCCTCTGCTTGATGGGTCAGCAGACTACAGCCTTTGGGCAAATCAGCCTGCCCTGCCTGGGATGGCTCATAGTCTGCCTTCTCTCCTCCCCCACCTGTTCTCCCGCTGGCCCAGCTCCTGGCGTTCCCCACCCTGCCACCCCCTTGGATAGTGCCACAATTTGTCCTTCTGTGTTTCTCAGCACTCCAGTGTTGACTGTGAGCTTCCCTGCCTGTGGCCATGTGGCTTTTCTGTGGAGCACACCACCCTGTTACGGCTCTTCTGCCCTCCCTCCTCCCGGAAGGCCTCCCCAGGCCACATGGTTCCCTGAGCGGCCCAGGCGCCTCTCTGCATGTGTGGACTTCGTGGGCACCAGCTCTCCAGTGAAGGGCCCCGGTGCTCACCCCAGGGCTGAGTTGTGAGCTTCATGCTGAGGTCACGGGCCCTGAAATGCTCTCTCTTCCTTGCAGCTACAGAGGGCCAGAGCTGGAGATGTGGTCTCTGGGTGTCACCCTGTATACGCTGATCTTTGAGGAGAACCCCTTCTGTGAGGTGGAGGAGACCATGGAGGCCACCTTGCGCCCCCCGTACCTGGTGTCCCAAGGTGGGCTTAAGCCCGTTGGCAAGAGATGCCAATGTCCTGAGAACCTGGTAGTTCTTATTTGCATCTTCTCACTTTGTTCATACTAATTATCTCATTTACCTCATTTGCTTTTCTAATTGTGCTTTGATTGGAACATAAAAATGATTTTTGTTGTTGTTGTTTTTTTTTGGTCGGTCGTGGGGCTTGAACTCTGGGCCTGGGCGCTGTTCCTCAGCTCTTCAGCTCAAGGCGAGCGCTCTACCACTTGAGCTACAGCGCCACTTCCGGTTTTCTGGTGGTTATTGGAGATAGGAGTCTCACAGTCTTTCCTGCCTGGGCTGGCTTTGAACCGTGATCCTCAGATCTCAGCCTCCTGAGTAGCTAGGGTTACAGGCGTGAGCCACCAGCGCCTGGCCATAAGAATGATTTTAATATGTCTTGAATCTCTTTTTCTTGGACGGATGGTACTAGGGTTTGAACTCAGCCTCATGTTTGCTATACAGCCACACCTCTGGCCTTTTTGCTTTTATTTGGATTAGAGTCCCGGGGTGGTCCACCTTGGGCCGTGATCCTCAGAATCTGGGATGATGATGTTCACCATGTTATGTTGAGGCAGGGGGTGGGGAGAGGAGGGGGGGTCATGGACCTTTTGCCCGAGCTGGCGTTAAACAGTGATCCTCAGCCGGGTGCCTGTAGTTCATGCCTGTAATCCTACTCAAGAAGCTGAAATCTGAGGATCAAGGGTCAAAGTCAGCCAGGGCAGGAAAGTCCTTGAGACTCTTAGCTCCAGTGGCTCAGGTGGTAGCACACTAGCCTTGAACTAAAGAAGCTCAAGGACAATGCCCAGACCCTGAGTTTGAGCCCCAGGATTATCCAAAACAAAAAACAATGGTCCTGCTGAACTCAGCGTCCTGAGTAACTTGCATATGAGTCACTAGGCCTGGTTGAGAACATGTTGATAGTTTTTATCGTGGACATGGCAGACGTGGTAAGTGACCTTGTCTGGACCTGGTGGTGGTGCCTGTGGTCTGGAACCCCATGGTGAGCAGTTGTGTGTGTGTGTGTGTGTGTGTGTAGGTCTTGACCCCAGCATCTCATGTGGAGCCTGTGGGCCTCTGTAACACATAGCCCCATGAGCAGTGTATAAAGATGGGCCTGGCTGTGGTTTGATCTGGAGTGAGGACCAGCACAGTGAGGTGGATGTGAGCTCAGTGGCCAGAAAGGCTTCCAAAGCCTGTGGTGGGTACTTAGGAGGGGCCCACGCTGTGGGGAGCAGCTGGGGTCGGTGGCTGGGAGGCTGGGCCTTCAGTGATGTGTGGTCCTTCCACTGCAGTCATGCTAAAAGCCGTGAGAGTGGCAGCCAGCCCTCCTGAGGCGGGGTCGGCCTTGGCCGTGCTGCTCGGGCTGTGGTCAGCTTAGTTGCCATCGCAGTCTCATGGCGGTGCTCTCCTGCTGGTCTGCGCAGGTCCGGTTCTTGGAGACAGCACCTTTTCCTTGAGTCCCAACGGCCAAGGCTCCCTTTTCCCCGTGGGGCCAGGGCTTCAGCACATGCACCCGGGGGCAGGGCATAACGCAGGTGTGTCAGCTGGTGGGAGGGCCTCAGAGCTGGGGTAAGCTCCAGATTGCTGAGGTGCTGTGGCTCAGGGAGGTGTTCCCCGTTCCACGGTTGTCCCCAGTTCATGCTGCCCTCCCCTGGCTGAGGGAGAGATGCTCCTGACAGCTCTCCCCTCCCCTCCGGTCTCACATATCCTCCAGTGCTCGCTGCTCTGCTCACTGGGAAGACGGCTCGGTTTGGCTGGATCTTCATCTGCGGGCATTCATTCCAAAGCAATGGACCCTCCCACAGGCCCTGGCCTGAGGCTCTTGTGGCCTCCAACTCTGTCAGAGGCAGTAGTGGTGGGGATCGGGGTCTGAAGTTCTGAGATTTGCCCCCTGTTGCCCCAGCCTGGATCCACCTCTGTTCTCTGTCTTCAGAGCTCATGAACCTCGTGTCTGGGCTGTTGCAGCCTGCCCCTGAGAAGCGCACCACTCTGGAGAAGCTGGTGCAAGACCCGTGGTTGACACAGCCCGTGAACTTGGCTGACTACACTTGGGAAGAGGTGTGTCGGATCAGCAAGCCAGGTGAGGCAGTTCACAGCTTCCCCCGTCTGCCTCCTTTTTCCTGGGGTTGGAGGTGCCCAGGATGCCTTCCTGAGCAGGTTCCCCTCCCCACGCCCTCCTGGACTTGAGTGCCAGAGCCTGTGGCTGGCAAGGAGATTCTGTGCAGAGAACCCAGGATTCAGTATAGCTGTGAGCCTTAGTTAGACAGCCAAAGGCCCCAGACACTGAGTTGATGCTTTGGGGCAGGGGTGGGAATAGGGTGTGTCTTCTCTCAGAAGTTCCTGGCCCTAAGCTAGAACCACTGCTCAGAGCGGTGGCACCAAACTGGGATTGATAGCTCTGGGCTAAGGCTCGTACTAGCACTATAGCAGGCTGTGCACTTAGAACATGGCAAACATGGTGGGCGGAGGAGGGTAGGGTGTCTCTGAAGCTGCCTAGTAACTCTGTCCCTCGGACTTTCAGGGAGGAAGAAGTATTAGAATACTGTGTTGTTAGTATGCAATGTATCTTCTTCATCTATTAGAGCCTCACCACCTATGCACCCCAAGTCTGGAGGTGGGATGCAGGAGCCCTAGCCAAGGGCCTCGTGATGCAGGGCTGCCCAGGGCGCCCTCTGGCGGTCAGCACAGCCTGGGGCCTGAGGAACCCTCTCCGCCTGTTGGCTGAACCCAAGGCTCCCCTTGTTCTCTACTCAGAGTGGACAATCACGTGGATTTTAGGCCCCTCCCATCCAAAGAAAGTAACTCTCAAGCATGGGGCCCAATTCACCATCAAAACACCCACGTGCAAGTTTTTTAAGGGCTGGAATAAAAGCTGGTGATGCTATATTTTTTAAGTGTATAAAATAGACTTGGAATTCATGATAATTGTGACCCTGGAAAAACATTCTGGTGTTCGTGTTCAATTACTTTGTACTATTAAAGGGCTTAACTTGAGAGCTCAGAAAGGTATAAGGAGTGTTATCTTGTACACGTAGCTTTCTTTCCCAGTGACCTGGCATAGGCTCATCTGAACAATAGATGTATAGGATCTATAGAACCGGTTAGCCTGAAGAGCCAGGATATCCCCTTGAATGCTTTTTTGTTAACAATAACCAGATAGGGCCTGAATGAGCTGTCCCACCATGCTGGGTCTGAGACGCAGGAACTTATTATTCCATGTGCATATTGCTTGTCACAACTGTGGAGTTCAACTTGGGTCAGACTGGAGATCCACCCAGCAGAGGGTCCTGGCAGGAGCAGGCCCTGGGCTCTGAAGCTGAGAGCATAGAAGACTGGGGACAGTGTGACTACAGTGTTCCCAGTACCTCTCTTCTCCATTCAGAACTGTTCAGGGCAGGGCCTGAACATATGCTAGTCATCTGATGTGTGTCAGCCAGTCTAGGCTGACAAACTGATGGCAGGCTGAGGGCTCCAGGCCTACCTGTGTGACTGTGTGAGGGTTCCAGTTCTCCAAGGAACACTGTTTCTTTGGTGCCAGTCCTGGGGCCTGAACTCGGTTCCTGGGCACTATCCTCGAACTTCTTCGCTCATGGTTAGCAGTCTACCACTTGAGCCACATCTTCACTTCTGGCTTTTTTTGGGGGAGGGGGGGCAGTTCACTGCAGAAATAGGTTTAAGTACTTTTAACACCAACTTGGTGTCTAACACAAAGCAGTTAAACACATATCCATGCAAGAAGTAAACCTTTACTGGGCACCTGTGGCTCACCTTGTGATCCTAGCTACTTGTGAGGCTGAGATCTGAGGATTGAGGTCAAAGCCAGACTAGGCAGAAAAGTGTGTCACTCCTTATCTCCAATAAACCACCAGAAATTGGAAGTGGTGAAGTGGCTCAAAGTGGTAGAGTGCTGGTCTTTGAGCTAGAAAGCTCAGGGACAGTGCCGACGTCCTGAGTTCAAGCCCTATAACCAAGAAAAATAAAGCCAAGCTTCAGTTCTGCCACACACCCACCCACCACCACCATCAAATCCTTTTACTCAGTTTAGAGTTGATAAAGCAAGAAAAAATACATATAAATTGTGACTTTCAAGTAGTGTGATCTAGGCAACTTTCTCGGTCTATCCTTTTATCCATAACTATCTTTAAAGTGTCAGGTCCACGAATGAATACATATTAAGACGTACGTAACTGAAACTGGAATTTTAGACCCCATCCCCAGGCTCCCAAGAGTCCCACCTCTCAGGATGGGCACCCGATGCCCAAAAGACACATGGCAAAGGGCAGGAAAAATCGTTCTGTGGCGTGTGCGTGCCGTGGAAGACAATACTCCAGCTGCTGTTTGGCCCCGTGGAGGGCACAGACATTAGCTGTAAGTGTAAGTAAAGAACCGAGAGCCGGGGACAATCTGGGTCCAAGGGTGTGGACCGGCTGGGGGCAGGCTGCAAAGCCGGCGTGACGCCGGTACCCGGGGAAGCTC